AAACTCAAGGCCGGGGTCGCGTATCATCAATCGGTTGTCCATCGTCCAAAGTTGCACTGGCGACGTACTGGTTGAACGCGGAGCGAGCAGCATCACGCGCGTGCCTGAACGCCACGCAGGTACAGTGCACGCGCGATTGGGACTTCAGGTCGATCACGCGCGTCTCCACCAGGCTTGGCAACACCACGCGACTGAGGATCTCACTGCGGTCTGCCATGCTGCTGTCCGCGAATGCAATGCGCTGCCTGCAAGTAAGGCGGCGGCGTCCACTTGTCTCAGAAGATGTTCCCGCGGGCCCGAAGGGCGACCGCCAGCTCGAGCCGCGGCGCCGGCAGGCCAGATAAGGATCATGCAACAGCAAAGACGATGACAGAGCAACGAGGTATCGGCGAGTGCATGACCGGCCTCCGTTTCCTGCACTTCTTTCCTGTAGTTCCCCTAGCTCATCGAGCTCAGCAGATGTTTCTGCGGGTCCGAAGGACGACCGCCAGCTCGAGTCGCAGCGCCGACGAGCTGCATCCACATCAGGCAACACCCCAGGAGACACTGGCACACAACGATTTGACGTCAGTCAGTGCCAGACCACTCCATGTCTAGTTCCTCGCACACATACAGTCGATCGCAGATGCGGGATAATCGAAGTAGAATGACGGGTCCAATCTGCGTCCGCGTAAGACGTCACTACGCTGGACTCCGCAGCAGGTCTCGAAAGTGGCGACAGTTTCGTGGGCCCCACAGCAGCCCTCGAAAGTGGCGACAGTTTCACAGATCGTAGCCCCCCAGCGCTGGCGAGGTCTAATCTGCGTCCCCGTAGGACGTCACTCCGCTGGCCCCCCAAGCAGCCTTCGAAAGTGGCGACAGTTTCGCAGATCGCAGCCCCCCAGGGATGGCGAGGTCTAATCTGTATCCCCGTAGGGCGTCACTCCGCTGGGCCCCCCACGCAGCCTTCGAAAGTGGCGACAGTTTCACAGATCGCAGCCCCCCAGGGATGGCGAGGTCTAATCTGAATCCCCGTAGGGCGTCACTCCGCTGGGCCCCCCAGCAGCCCTCGAAAGTGGCGACAGTTTCACAGATCGCAGCCCCCCAGGAATGGCGAGGTCTAATCTGAATCCCCGTAGGGCGTCACTCCGCTGGGCCCCCCAGCAGCCCTCGAAAGTGGCGACAGTTTCACAGATCGCAGCCCCCCAGGGATGGCGAGGTCTAATCTGAGTCCCCGTAGGGCGTCACTCCGCTGGGCCCCCCAGCAGCCTCGAAAGTGGCGACAGTTTCACAGATCGCAGCCCCCCAGGGATGGCGAGGTCTAATCTGAATCCCCGTAGGGCGTCACTCCGCTGGGCCCCCCAGCAGCCCTCGAAAGTGGCGACAGTTTCGCACAGAGATGGCGAGGTCTAATCTAAGTCCCCGTAGGGCGTCACTCCGCTGGCCACCCCAGCAGCCTTCGAAAGTGGCGACAGTTTCACAGATCGCAGCCCCCCAGGGATGGCGAGGTCTAATCTGAGTCCCCGTAGGGCGTCACTCCGCTGGCCACCCCAGCAGCCCTCGAAAGCGGCGACAGTTTCGCAGATCGCAGCCCCCCAGGGATGGCGAGGTCTAATCTGAGTCCCCGTGGGGCGTCACTCCGCTGGGCCCCCCAGCAGCCCTCGAAAGTGGCGACAATTTCACAGATCGCAGCCCCCCAGGGATGGCGAGGTCTAATCTGAGTTCCCGTGGGGCGTCACTCCGCTGGCCACCCCAGCAGCCCTCGAAAGTGGCGACAGTTTCACAGATCGCAGCGCCCCAGAGCAAGAGAAGAGACGAAGAGGGGAGAGAGGAGGAAGAGGCGGGAAGGAAGGAAGGAAGGTGGAGACCGCAGTGCTCTATTCAAAACGAGTGCCCAACGCAGGAGGGTTGGGAAAAAGGAGGCTGTACTTCTCCAGAGTCACGCGAGTCGACTTCCATTGCACTTGCCCCACCCCCCCACACCTGGCCGCCTTTCCAAACCGCGCTGCGCCGAGAAGTCGTACGAGTGAGTCTCGACGTGTGTGAAATCAAAATTTTCTTGCAGAACTCGCCGAGCCTCGACCCCACATCAATACAAACAATCATGACGAACTCTATTGAAACAATGCCTCTACCGACGGCTCGTTCTTCCGTGATTTCGGCCTCCGGAGGCCCTTGGACAGACAATACACGACTCGGGAGGAAAGCCAATCCCCGGGCAGAGGTCAAGATCCCCAGAGAACCGCGTTGTAAAACGGATGCGCCGCCCAAGCATGAGAGGGCAGCCTGGCCACTGCTGCGAGATGTGGACCCAGTGGCTCCTTTAGTGTAGAACTTATGCTTGGCGGCTGACGAGACCCTGGGTCACATGAGCCACGACTGGACGTCGCAGGCCGAGGGTGGATACAGTATCGAACGGTAAAAACAATATATTTGTACAATGCCCAGGAGAGAGACCGAGCACTGGTCGGAATTGCTACAACATCGTGCTAGCAAGGAGCACTCAACTGAAGGGGAACTGGGACACACACACAAATAAAGAAACACAAATAACCCGATTCCCCATATGTTCCCATATTTGCTTGGCTTCTGTCTTCCCCACCACTTCACATATTGTCCATATTTTCTGGGGAATCGACGATTGATTGTGTCTGTGTGTTTTTCCCCTCCCGATTAGCGGATGGAAGGAGGCGGCCTCTCTGGCCAAAACTCGGATGTCCGCGCGGATGTCTCCCAACCGCGCCAGGGAGGGGGTCCAGCCCCGATGCGAGAAATCCGCGAGGACCTCCGAGTTGTTATGTTCATGCCATTTTTGCGTTCCCCTGTTGCCGTGTCTTGACAGCACCGCCACAACAGCGAGGGTCCCACGGAGCATCCTTCCACAGCGGCAGATCGTGAACCTGAGGCTCCCTGGCGCGCGGGCGCTCTGCACGAGCGCCACTGGCGAAGAAACCGCTGTCCCACCCCATGGCTGGGGTGTGCCGAACCCTTGCTTGAGCAGGGACCGACCGTCCCGGCATTCCTGTAGTCCAACCACGAACTGTTCTTAGAACCCACAAATGCTCTAATAACAAAAGCAATGCTCCTAGAACATTAACCCGATGTGTTAAATCAAGACAGCCTCCGCCAGAAATGTTCTGAGAACATGTCGTGGGAACCACAAGAGGGTCCTAGAACATGGTTTGGTAGGGCTATGGGCGAGCCAGGACGCTTCGCCTCTGCTTGACTCGCCCAGCGCGCTCGAGGCATCCCTCGCGCTGGCCAGGCACGGGCACCCACTGCACCCCCTCTGGCGGCAACGGCTCCGCTGCCCCCGCTGGAGCCCAGAGCGGTCCTCCTTCGAGCAATAGGGGGCCACACGCGAGCCCTACCCCTACCCCCCACGATTTCTGAGGGGGGGGGGGGGGGGTACTTCGCTCGCCTTCCCCCTCAGAGATCGTGGGGGGTAGGGGCAGGGCTCGCGTGTGGCCCCCAAAGCAACCTCCGCGGCAAAGGACGATTACTATTTGAGCGGCCCGCGGTCGAGGGAACCGGGTCTGTCGAGACTACGCGGCTCACCGCGGGGGGTCGAATACCGAAAGGGGGGAGGACCACGAGTCGTTTGCCGCCGGGAGCGCTGCCCCCCCTCCCCCCCCCGAGAGAGGAAGAGAGGACGGGGGGGGGAGGGGCCCTCCCGTGGAGCAGGGACCGACCGTCCGGGGCATTCCTAGAGGCCGACCACGACCTGTTATCAGAACCCAGAAATGTTCGGAGAACAGAAACAAGGCTCGGAGAACATATGCCATGCTTAATACCTGAATATATATATATATATATATATATGTATGTGTGTTTGTATGTATGCATGTATGCATGTAGGCGAGTGGATGTAAGTCAGTAAGTACACAATTAAGTAAGCAAGCCAACATGTATGTATGTATGTATGCATACATGCATGCATGTATGCATGTATGTATGTATGTAGAATTGTATGCATGTGTGTTTGTATGTATGGTTGTATGTGTATATATATACATAAAACAAGCTCAACCAGACATTATATAAAGAACACTTCATGCAGACCACAAAAGGTTATGACACCATTACTTGGCGGACTTATGGGCGAGCCAGGACGCTTCGCCACTGCTAGATCCCCTTATCAGAGAGAGGGGGCCGACCAGTCATTCATTGTCCCTGGGTGCGTGGCTGAAGTGAGAATCCGTGGTTAGGAGTCTGCTTGTTGCGTTGTTGTTGTTGCTGCTGTTGTTACTAATGTTGTTTGTTGTTGTCGTCACCCCCGCGACCCACCCCGCGACCCACCCCGTGACCCACTTGTGACCCACCCCGCGACCAAAACGCGACCCACCCGCGACCCAACTCGCGACCCACCCGCGACCCAACCCGCGACCCATCCCGCAACCCACCCCGCGACCCACTCGCGACCCATCCGCGACCCACCTGCGACCCTCCGCCACCCACCCGCGAGCCACTCGCGACCCACCCGCGACCCACTCTGCGACCGACCCGCGACCCACCCGCGACCGATCCACATTGGTTTGAAAAGAAAATCGGCGCCTGCGGCGGGCTCGGTGCATAATTTGTGAAAGTTTGACGCCTGCGGCGGGCTTTTCCAGAGTCCCGCAGACTGCCGACGTCCCCAGCGCCCCCTCACTCTTACCCGCATCTGCGGGATGCTACATTCGCTAAATCCACCACCTCCTCCTCCTCCTCCTCCTCCTCCTCCTCCTCCCCCGCCTCCTTTTACTCCTCCTCCTCCTCCTCCCCCTCCCCTCCCCCTCCCCCTCCTCCTCCTCCTCCTCTCCTCCTCCTCCTCCTCCTCCTCTTCCTCCTCCTCCTCCTCCTCCTCCTCCTCCTCCTCCTCCTCCTCCTCCTCCTCCTCCCCCTCCCCCTCCTCCTCCTCCTCCTCCTCCTCCTCCTCCCTCCTCCTCCTCCTCCTCCTCCTCCTCCTCCATCTCCTCCTCCTCCTCCTCCTCCTCCTCCTCCTCCTCCTCCTCCTCCTCCTCCCTCCTGCCCTGCGGGGCCTGGCGTGCCTTGAAGCCCCGGCTGTTTGCGTGCGCGCGGATCAGGGCCTTGTCCGCGGAAACGGCTGGCTCGCGGGTGTCGCAGAGGGCCTCGGCCAACGCACCGTGCACGGCCCAACTCGCGCCGCAGCGCCGGAGACGGCGGGCGCACGACGGCCGCGGATTTGGACGCCCGAAATGTGTATGAAAAATTGGGTACAAGGCTCGCGCTGACCGCATCGAGGTGAGGATCCCACATCCTGAGGAACGAACCACACGCAAACATACCCATAGTTTGGACGCCCGAAATGGGCACAGGGCAGTTTTTAATACATGGGATGTTTTAATATAGGATGTTTCATACATCATTCATTTACGAGCGCATGTATGCATGAATTCATCGTTGTCTTTAGTACTAGATCCCTGCACTTTAATGCATGATCCGCACGCGGAACATGTATTTAAAAACGGCACTGTATGGAAAACGTGGGTACAATGCCCAACAACAAATGTTGTCCCAAAGCGACAGCGGCCGCTGTCGGGCAGGCGGCCTTCTGCCTCAAATAGACGCAGGCCGCGGCGGCACGGACAGCGAGTCCTGATCAACATGAACAGGAACTGCTGTTGGGCATTGTACCCATTCTTTCCGCACTAATTTACCAGCCTCGAACTTATCTCTATCCCTAAGATTGTCACGCCAAAATGCGGTGACAATCTTGAGGATGCGCCCTCAAAAAATAAGGGAATCCCTAAGATTGGCATCGTGATGAGGAGATGCCCAGCATAGGGATAGGGATATGTTCCAGGCTGGTAACCAATGTCGGTCGTCCCGAACAGACACCGGCCGCCCGCGGACCCCCGGCGTACTGTCTTTGTCGCAGCGTCGACCCCCAGAGGTCTCGACCAGTTTTATGTCGGGCGTGTCCCCCTACAGGGGGATTTTCGACGAAAAATAGAACGCCCCCCAAACATGCACAAAAATTGTAAGAACTATCCCGGCAAAGCAACCTAACAGCGATGTATAGGAGCATATCTGGAAGCATCCCCCTTAAGATCCAGATGAGAATCCAGTTGTACAATTCTGCTGTTCTCGCAGTCGTAGTCGCATTCGCGATGGCAAGCGAAGCGGCAACGGCAGTCGCAGTCACAACCTCAGCCTCAGCCTGCCTCAGCCTCAGCATCAGCCTGCCTCAGCCTCAGCCTGCCTCAACCTCAGCCTCAGCCTGCCTTCAGCATCAGCATCAGTCCGCCTTCAGCCTCAGTCTCAGCCTGCCTCAGCCTCACCCTGCGTGCAGCTTCAGCCTCAGCCTCAGCCTGCCTCAGCATCAGCCTGCCTCAGCCTCAGCCTCAGTCTGCCTCTGCCTTCAGCCTCAGCCTGCTTCAGCCTCAGCCTCAGTCTGCCGTCGGCCTCGGCCTCGGCCTCAGCCTGCCTCAACCTCAGCCTGCATCAGCCTCAGCCTCAGCCTCAGCCTGCCTCAGCCTCAACCTCAGCCTCAGCCTGCCTTAGCCTCAGCCTCATCTGCCTCAGCCACAGCCTCTGTCTGCCTGCAGCCTCGGCCTCAGCCTCAGCCTGCCTCAGCCTGAGCCCGCCTCAACCCCAGCCTCAGCCTCAGCCTGCCTCTGCCTCGGCCTGCCTCAGCATCAGCCTCAGCCTGCCTCAGCCTCAGCCTCAGCCTGCTTCAGCCTCAGCCTCAGTCTGCCTTCAGCTTCGGCCTCACCCTCAGCCCGCCTCAGCCTCAGCCTGCATCAGCCTCAGCCTCAGCCTCAGCCTGCCTCAGCATCAGCCTGCCTCAGCCTCAGCCTCAGCCTGCCTCAGCCTCAGCCTCAGCCTGCTTCAGCCTCAACATCAGCGTGCCTTCAGCCTCGGCCTCAGCCTCCGCCTGCCTCAGCCTCAGCCTGCATGAGCCTCAGCCTCAGCCTCAGCCTGCGTCAGCCTCAGCCGCACTTCCGATGGCGCCGAGGTGGCTCCCGTGCGTACCTGCGCCCACGGAAATCACCTCCGATGGCGCCGAGGTGGCTCCCGTGCGTACCTGCGCGCACGGAACGCCTGCGCGCACGGAACGCTTCTCCGATGGCGCCGAGGTGGTTCCCGTGCGTACCTGCACGCACGGAACGCACCTCCGATGGCGCCGAGGTGGCTCCCGTGCGTACCTGCACGCACGGAACGCACCTCCGATGGCGCCGAGGTGGCTCCCGTGCGAGCCTGCACGCACGGAGCGCACCTCCGATGGCGCCGAGGTGGCTCCCGTGCGTACCTGCACGCACGGAATGAACTCCGCTGGATTCTCCCGGTTTCTGCCGGCTTCCGCCGGGACCCCCCTGGAGTGTCATGATGCTCTCTTTTGACCCTACTAGAAACCTATCAGCACAAGCTGTTAGGAAAAATACTCAAACAATAATTCCCGCACTATTTACCTAACAGCGAAGACTCATAGGTTTCTAGTGGTGTCAAAAGAGAACATCTGATGACTCAGAAGGGATGTCTGGGCGGCGTCTGGACAGCGAGGGCCGGGCTCAGGGCCAGGCTCGCTTTAAGCAAACAGTCGCACACTTCGTGCTCTTCGACCTCCCAGAACTCCACTCCCGGGCCACATTTTGAATGCCCGGAACCAACTGTAAGCCACTTCGTGCTCTACGACTTCCCAGAACTCCACTCCCGGGCTACATTTTGGATGCCCGGAGCCAACTGTAAGCCACTTCGTGCTCTTCGACCTCCCAGAACTCCATTCCCGTACGCATTTTGGATGCTCGGAGCCAACTGTAGGCCACTTTATGCTCTTCGACTTCCCAGAACTTCATTCCCGGGCAACATTTTGAATGCCCGGAGCCAACTGTAGGCCACTTCGTGCTCTTCCACTTCCCAGACTTCCAAGACTCATCATCTTCATCATCATCATCGTCCCCGTAGCCTTCTTGGCTACAGCCCTGCTTTCGAAGATTTCCTTTCAAAGGAACTGCGCAGCGCCTACTGCGCACCTTACTGCCGGGACATGCTGATAGTTCTCGGTCTGGCGGCGGTGCTCCTGACCCTGCTGCCTTGAACAGCGGTGCTCCTCAGCCTGCGGCAGGGAACAGCGCTGCTCCTCAGCGTGCTGCATTGAGCGGTCCTCTGCAAACGCTCGTCGAGCACGTGAAGCAGTTCGGCCGGATACCGAAGCGAAATAAATATGTTTTTGCCTAAAAGCGAGGACTGATAGGTTTCTAGTAGTGTCAAAAGAGAGCATCTTGACTCCCCAGGGGTGTCTGGGCGGGTGCCGGGGAGAAGCCGCGGAAGTAATTTTAAGCAAACAGTCAAACACTTCGTGGTCTTCGAGGTCCCAGAAATCCATTCCTGGGCATGATTTTGAATGCCTGGAGCCAATTGCAGGCCACTTTGTGGTCTTCGAGTTCCCAGAAGTCCATTCCTGGGCATGATTTTGAATGCCCGGAGCCAACTGTAGGCCACTTCGTGGTCTTCGAGTTCCCAGAACTCCATTCCTAGGTATGATTTTGAATGCCCGGAGCCAAGTGCACAAGTGAAAACAAAACACGAAACAAAACAAAAAAAAAAGGGAAACAAAAACAAACAAACAGAAAAAAAAAAAAAAAAACATTATCAAAAAAGAAAAAACAAAACAAAAAAAAAAATGCAAAAAACAAAAGGCCACTTCGTGTTCCTTTGAGTTCCCAGAGATCCACTCCCGGGCCACTTTTGAATCTGATGCAGGCTGAGGCTGAGGCAGGCTGAGGCTGAGGCCGAGGCTGAAGGCAGACTGAGGCTGAGGCTGAGGCTGAGGCTGAGGCTTAGGCTGAGGCAGGCTGAGGCTGAGGCTGAGGCAGGCTGATGCTGAGGCAGGCTGAGGCTGAGGCTGAGGCTGATGCAGGCTGAGGCTGAGGCAGGCTGAGGCTGAGGCCGAGGCTGAAGGCAGACTGAGGCTGAGGCTGAAGCAGCTGAGGCTGAGGCTGAGGCAGGCTGAGGCTGAGGCTGAGGCAGGCTGAGGCTGAGGCTGAGGCTGAGGCTGAGGCTGAGGCAGGCTGAGGCTGAGGCAGGCTGAGGCTGAGGCTGAGGCTGATGCAGGGTGAGGCTGAGGCAGGCTGAGGCCGAGGCCGAGGCTGAGGCAGGCTGAGGCTGAGGCTGAAGCAGGCTGAGGCTGAGGGTGAGGCAGGCTGAGGCTGAGGCTGAGGCAGGCTGAGGCTGAGGCAGGCTGAGGCTGAGGCTGTGATTGCGACTGCCGTTGCCACTGCGACGGTCATCGCGAATGCGACTGCGACTGCGAGAACAGCAAAATTCTACAACTGGATTCTCATCTGACTCTTAAGGGGAACGCTTCCAGATATGCTCCTACACATCGCTGTTAGGTTGCTTTGCCGGGATAATTGTTGACTATTTGTTTATACCATGAAGGGTTTTTACCTAACAGCGAAGACTGATAGGTTTCTAATGGGGTCAAAAGAGAGCATCTGATGACTCCCCAGGGGGGTCTGGGCGGGAGCCGGACAGGCGAGGGCCGGGCTCGTTTTAAACAAACAGTCAGACACTTCGTTCTCTGCGACCTCCCAGAACTCCATTCCCGGGCCACATTTTGAATGCCCGGAGCCAACCGTAAGCCACTTCGTGCTCTTCGACTTCCCAGAACGCCATTCCCGGGCCACATTTTGGATGCCCGGAGCCAACTGTAGGCCACTTCGTGCTCTTCGACTTCCCAGAACTCCACTCCCGGGCCACATTTTGAATGCCCGGAGCCAACAGTAGGCCACTTCGTGCTATTGGACTTCCCAGAACTCCACTCCCGGGCCACATTTTGAATGCCCGGAGCCAACTGTACGCCACTTCGTGCTCTTCGACTTCCCAGAACTCCATTCCCGGGCCACATTTTGAGTGCCCGGAGCCAACTGTAGGCCACTTCGTGCCCTTCCACTTCCCAGACTTCCAAGACTCATCATCTTCATCATCATCATCGTCCCCGTAGCCTTCTTGGCCACAGGCAATGTTTCCAGCTATGCTTCTACACATCGCTGTTAGGTTGCTTTGCCGGGATAATTTTTATTTTTCGTCGAAAATCCGCATGTAGGGGGACAGGCCCGACTTAAAACCAGTGCCTCGGGACCGGCTCGTCGTCTCGAGCCCTCTGGGCGGCCGCGGGGGCACGGCGAGGCCTCCCCTTAGTGGGCCCGGGATAACGGCAGGGCCGTTGTTTCACCTTTTCCGAGAAAGTGCCCCTTGAAAATGGAAACGGGAAAAAAATGGCGACCGGAAACGGCAAAAAAATGGCTCAAGGATTGTAGCCGGAGCCGGAATCGGTCAAAAAACGGCGACGGAACCGGTAAAAAAACCGCGTCGGAACCGGTAAGAAAACGGCAAAACGGAACCGGTAAAAAAACTGCCCTGTCGTTGCCAGGGCCCACTAAGGGCCCCCCCCCGAGGCTGAGAGAAGGGCAAACCACGCCCGCCGTGCTTCTGTGCACGACGCGAGGGGGGTCTGTGGGCAAGCCCCAAACTGAACACTCCCCCTCCCCCCCAAACTCAATGTTGGCACACGCGGGGGAGACTGCGGTCGAAGCGCATCTCATCAGACCCACCGCCAACTTTGAACATTCGGGGGAGGTGGAGGCGTTGACGGATGAATGTGGCATGTGTTCGCTAATTCGTTCCGAGGCCCGTACCACTACTGCTACTCCCCGGATCTCTACTGGGGTGCGTTCTTGCCAGCAGCTCGAAGCGCATCCAGCGGTGGCGACGAAGGCCGCCCAGGAGGCCCAAGGGGGCGCGAAACATGAGGGCAGAGTAGCGGCACAGGTACCTTTGCCTCCTCCGAGCCGTGGTTTTCTTTACGACGCGAGGGGGTATGAGTGTCGTCCGACCTGGTGCGATCGAGGCATGCTCAGCTTTTCCAGCCGCCTCTCAGGGCCGGAGGGGCCCGTGCTCCGAGGACTTCGCGACGAACCCAAGGGCGCCAAAAAGCCAGCGGTTACCAGCCTGGAACATATCCCTATCCCTATGCTGGGCACCCCCTCATGACTCATTACGATGCCAATCTTAGGGATTCCCTTATTTTTTTAGGGCGAATCCCTAAGATTGTCATCGCCTTTTGGCGTGCCAATCTGAGGGATAGGCATACGTTCGAGGCCGGTGAAGCGGCACGCAGCAGATGCCCTGCCCCCGTTTCCCGGCCCTACGACGAGGCCAGGGCGAGGACGGGCTCTCGGACTGGGCCCACCGGGAACCTCTGAGATCCCGGCACTCCGGAGGGCGTCTCGGCGCCGCGGCCTTCTCAGCGCATCCTTAACCAGCCTCGAACGCATGCCTATCCCTAAGATGGGCGAGCAACAAGCGAGGACAATCTTAGGGATAGGCCCTCAGAAACTGAGGGAATCCTTAAGATCGGCATCGAGGTGAGGTGATGTCCAGCATAGGGATAGGGATAAGTTTCAAACTGGTAATTCTCAGAGCATCCTGGGTTCCGGAACGCCCTGGAACGGATCACCTCGTTCTGGCTCCATCCGATACCCCTCCAAATCCCTCTGACTTCGGAGATGGCGATCTCAAGACTGTCACAGACAACACCGGCCTCGCACGCAGCAGCAGATACGCAACGCGGAAAAGCACCCTGCAAACAGATCGATGCTGCGAACTAGAAGCATGATGCGTAGTTTTTAGCGGATGCAGGAAGATCTGAGATCTGAAACGAGCTGCATGGGCCCCAAAAAGACGGCCCCACAATCTCCAGACCGCCAACCTGGCCTACAATACGGCTGATATTGCCCTACGAGAACCCAGGATGACCCGAAGAGGGCTCCAGGACGGTCCAAGTTGCACCCTACACGGCCCTAGGCGGTCCAAGACTGCCCAAAAGGCCCCCAAGACGGCTCTTAGAGCACCTTCGGGAGGCCAAACTCATTGATGTCCCGAAGGTCTTGCAATGATCTCAGCGTTCTGGCCTTTGCGGGCTCCCGACGCTCCAATACGCCCCCATAGGCCCCCAAGATCACGCCTAAGACGGCCCACGAGACCCCCAAGAGGCCCGCAACACGGTCCAAGAGGACCTCAAGACGGCCCAAGAGGCACCAAGACGGCCCCATAGACCTCGAAGACCAAGGGACCCCAAGACTCCCTCACAGGAGGCGCCGCAAGACCGCCCCAAGACGGCCCAAACGAGTTCCATGAAAGCTCCTCAGATAGTGAAGACAGACAGTGTCACATGAGACTTTGTTGTTCGCTTCCTTCTCCTTCTCCTGCTCCCCCTCCTCCTCCTCCTCCTCCTCCTCCTCCCCTTCCTCCTCCTCCTCCTCCTCCTCCTCCTCCTCTTCCTCCTTGCCACAATCACCATCGTTCTTCTTATCAACATCGTCATCATCATCAGCAGCAGCTGCATCAACATCACCATCATCAGATTCATCATCCTCATCATCCTCATCATCATCATCAACATCATCATTGCCATCATGATCCTCTTCATAAGCATTATAATAACCACAATCATCACAATCATCATAATCATCATTATCACCATCTCTATCAACACCCCCAATATCAACATCAGCATCATCATCAGCATCAGTATCATCGTCATCATCGTCGTCATCATCAGCAGCGACATCATCATCAGCATCACCAGCAGTACTACCATCACCCTCATCATCCTTACCTCCACTCTCATCGTCATCATCACCATCACTATCATCAGCATCATGAGCATCATCGGCAACAACATCATTGGCATCATCACCACCATCATCAACACCAGCATCGTCAACATCAACATCAGTATTATCGTCAGCTCCATATGCAGCATCAGCATCCTCACCCACAAGCTTACCACGGCTCCCAAACCCTCGAACAGTCGCCACCGCAAATGCTGGGCTGGCATGGCGGTGGACCTTGCCGCAGGCAGCTGGATAAGAAGCGCGCGGATGCACCGCGCGAGGTGTACGGCAGCTCCGTGTCGTGACGTCCCTGGCGTTGGTTTCTGACACCGCGTCCATCGCTCAACCTTGCACGATCGGCGGTTTGCCGATCGCCCGATCGTTCCACACTGGGCCGATTCTGGGCCACTGGCGGCATTCAACCTTGAACGCCCGCGGCGCGGTCGCCGCCGGTCGACACGACTAGAACCTGCAGTACCAGACCACGGAAGAGGAGCCGAGCGGGAGACAGTGGCGGCATCGCGGGCGGCGGCGTGCTCCTGAGAAGGGTCGGCCACCAAACCCTGGCCACAATGGTCTGCCCGAGAGCTCCTCTCTGCTGCCCTCTCTTGCTACTGGTCCTCCTTCTCTTCTCACTTTGGGTCGGGCATGCCCTTCTACAGGCGGGTTCTGGAAAGAAAAACTGGAAGAATGGTAGAACAAATGCTCAAAGGCAGTCACAAATAGTCGAAACATTGTCCCCAGACTATTTTTAACAACTGTTCTCGGATATGCCTCATGAAGAAGGACATGCCCGACTTCATTCGAACTCCGGCTGCATGGTGATTCGACGGAGGGGAGGCCAAGGCGACGAAAGCACTCGAAAAGGAAATCAACTGGTACAGCAGGGGCCCGACCAAAAGAAACCTTCCACAAGAAACCCAACCCTGAGACCCCAGGGCGTCCATTGATTCTCGGTGTGGGAACGTCACGCTTTCCATCGCAAAACCATCAAAACCCAAGAAACCCAGGGCACCCTGGAGACAAGCAAGGTGTTTCTTGGCATGGGCCCAAACTATACGGAATGTCGTAGTGACAAGGGCCCCCGAAAGCACGTCGGGCATCGGAGAGGCGGCTGCGGCATGGTGGGTCTTGCCCTTGGACGCGAAAAAGCATGAAGGCCGACCCCAGCGAGACGAAGGAGCATCTAAACACGGCCGCTCGCCGATGCTAAGTTTTGTTGGCTACTGTTTTAGGGGAACGAAAACTGGCATAGACTTCACAAACTCTGAGGTCCGCACGGATGTCTCGCATCCGCGCTGGACCCCAGAGTCGGGGCGGCGCCGGAGGCGCTGCCAGGGGGGCCCCGAGAAACCTGCGCGGATCTCTGAGTTTTTATGTTTATGTAGTTGTTCGTTCCCCGATGTTTGCTTGGCCTTGTCACGGTCTGCATCACCACTTCTCCCGTTTGCGCACGGCCCCCGGAGGGCGGGACGCCCGCTGGGCCGTGGAGGAGGATGTGCTGCGAGCGGACGTCGGCAAGGGCAACGTCATGCACCCTCGTCTCTGCGAGGCTCTGTCGTGAGAGAAGCTGTGGCCGCAAATCTGCCCGAATGTGACCGACACAGGCGTCCGAGTGTAAGTTACCCGAGCGCGCCCGAGTGAGTACGGTAATTGGGGCTTCAATGCTGGGCACAATGTCGGTCGCACTATGCCTTCGAGCCTGATGAAAGAGCCACTGCCCAGCTTCTGCCCGAGGTGCGCCCATACCTTGCCCTGCCCTGTTGGGCTTTGCTTGCTTTGGGGGGGCGAGGAGTGTGGGGGTGGGGGAGGAGCGGGTACCTTTCGTAACCCTTTTGGGCACCCAGGGGACCGTCTAGGGCCCCTACGGCGTCAAACAAAAAAAGTTCCTTCACCCTCCCATTTTCATCGCCCACGCAGTACCCAACGCCCGACCCGAAGGGCCTCAAGAGGCCCCCTCTTCTTCTCCCTCCACATACTCCTCCTCCTCCTCCTCCTCCTCCTCTTCCTCCTCCTCATCCTTGTCCTCCTTTTCCTCCCCCTCCGCGTCCTCCCCCTCCTCCTCCTCCACATCCTCCATTACTCCTCCTCCTCCTCCGCGTCCTCCCCTTCCTCGTCCTTTCTCTTCCTCTCAGGAGAGGACCACTGGAAGGGGGCCTGGCGAATCACAATCCAAAAGTCTGGCCAGACTTGGCCCCAATGTTTGGCCGCAGGGGCGTTTCCAAAAGTCTGGGGGCGGCCGTAATTCGCCAAAGGAGTCTTCGATACACACTTGCAGTGAGAAGTGGTTCTGCCGATGAGGCGGGGACGAGCAAGACACGTAGACCGAGCTCATTAAATGACACCAGGAATCTGGAAGACATATGGCTTTACTCACATGCGGCAACATCCCAAGGGT